CGTCTAGAGAGCTCGGGTTTATGCATGACATTTCTCAGCGGGTAATAGGTCATGACACATATGGGATGGCATTGAAAGTACGATTTTAATTTCCTAGAAGCGCTTAGTAAGGCGAGTACTAAGTTTTTTAAGTGTGGGTACCTTGTTTCGGCATCGCCTAGGGTTATACTAACATAATGAATATGAAATTATGTACCTTCTTCTTTCCGGATCAAGACACCACTTAATGCCACCTCAGAAACCGCCAAGTAGAGATATATCTATTCGTTCACCTTCGAAGTGTGCAGCAAGGGAGGGCTCGATAGGTATCGGTTGAGTGCTTCTAAAGCTTGTTGGCATTTCGGGGTCCAAGAGAAGTTATTCTTCTATTTCAATAGTGAGAAAAACCGATGGCTCTTATCCGACGATCTCAAAATGAACCGACCCTATGCGGCTATCCGCCCAGTCAGTCTTTGTACTACCTTAACGTCATCGACTATGGTGATGTCTTCTATGGCCTTTATTCTGTCCGGGTTAATCTCTATTCCCCGGTTAGATACTATGAACCCGAGAAACTTGCCTGAGCTAACCCCGGATGCACACTGCTCCCGGTTTAGCTTCATGTTGTACTTCCTCAATATGTCGAAGGTTTCCTGCAAATGTTTCAAATGGTCCTCTGCTCGTAGGGACTTAACCAACATATCGTCAATACAAACTTGCATTGATTTTCTTATTTGTTCTTCGAACATCCGGTTAACTAGGCATTGGTATGCGGCACCGGTGTTCTTTAGTCCAAACGCAATTACGTTATAATAGTAGGTGTCGAATTAGTTTTAAAAAGAAGTCTTTTTTTGATCGCCCGGGTCCATCCGAATTTGGTTGTACCTGGAATAAGCATCGAGAAAACTCAGTATCTCGTGTCCGACCGTCGCGTCAATCATTCGATCGATGTTAGGCAAAGGGAAAGAGTCCTTCGAGCGTTTCTTGTTTAAATCCTTATAATCTGTACAATATCACACCTCTTTTTTCCCACGCAAACCTATTACAAGGTTGAGTTACAAGATTTTTTCTAATTAAAGTGACGTTTTGAAAAGTGATTGTTTATTATTTAGAGTCGCCACTTGAAATTGAGTTTTGGTGTTCCAAGTCACCTTTTATTTGAATCCCTCATCAAATGGACGGTTTGACTTGTAATTTATGGTCTACGAAAATAGAAGATTGAGTAAGGAATTCTGTTGACCGATGGGAAGGTGTAAGGCACCCTCGAGTCTAGTGGTTCTAACACTGTCGCTTCTATTGACTAATGTCCGTCTTAAATTAATTTTTGATTATTCTTGTATTTTATTGATTATGATTTGCCTATTACCACTTAATTAATTATTGTATTTTATTAATTATTTTGACCTATATGATGTATGCGCACAAGATACTTCTTTGAAATTGAATGTTAAACCAAGGTACGGAATATACACATGGTCAAAATATAATTATTTTAAATTTAAAGGTAGCAAGAAGCAGGAATGCGCACATGATACTTTTATTACTTAAGCATATCAATCCAAGGTTTGGGTATGAACACATGGGCTAATATTTAAAGTACATCTAATGTTTTTCTAGCGTTTTAGAGTATTTCAATTATTTTATCTCTTTTAGATCCGAGATATATATATTTGTATATTTTTATTATATTTTTTTTACTTATTGGAACGAGTCTTGAGTTAGTTCATGACTCATTTTGCTCCCTCGCAATCATTTTCTAGTAATAGGCCTTGAAATATGTCTAGCCCAATTAATTATATTCTCCCATGACCCCACCTTCAGTGGGAATATGAAAGAAATATAATTAATAGCTTAGCCTCAAACATATGCTAACCGAAAATCAAACAAAATTTATAAATGAAGATAATAACTCATGAAAATTCCAACTTATACTTCAATAGTGAAACAAAGAAAGAATCTATATCCTTAGACTACTTTAAGTAACTAACATCATACTAAAATAACTTAACTAATACAATAAACGAGAAGTTGTATACAATAAACAACTTCACTGTTACTTAACTTACAGTAAAGTTGAGACGTGGAAAATGTAATACAATTAACGAGATTTTTTCTTTTAAAGTAAAAGTATTCTTACTAAACTAACACTTGATAATTTTCAGTTTTCATGGCTAAGTAATCAAACATTTGTAAACGCGTATTCCAAGAAGAACAATTTTTTTTTATAGAGAAAAACCTATCATAATCTTATAAAAAAACATATCATAATTTATGACCTATGTCACGACCCAAAACCCATGATAGGTCGCGATGACACCTAACGCTGCCGTTAGGCAAGCCCACAAGTATTTCTTTACCCCTTTTTAATATTTAAAATAAAAGTTTTTCTTTTTAAAGAATAAAATAAGTAAGATCTCATACAACCGTACATGCTATTTTCTTAACAAAATACCAACATAATAAGTACATCTACTGTAGTGATAGAAATGATGAGTACAGCAGTACATAAATGCTAAAAGTCCCCAAAATCTAGTTTCACAAGTGCATGAGCAATCTAGAGAATATACAAAACTACTACAACTATTGTCTGAAAGTCATAAACAGAAATAATGAGCAAGGTAGAGAGAGACTCCGGTGCTGCAGATCGTAGCAAGGCAACTAGCTCACCACTAAGTCTCCGTAGATGATCGGCTACGTGCTCACGTGACCACTGGTAGTACCTGTCTCAGTACCTGCACATCAGTGCAGAAGTATAGCGTGAGTATGGAAAACAACGCGTACCCAGTAAGTATCTAGTCTAAGCTCGAAGAAGTAGTGGCGATGGGCCGACTTGACACTTACTAGAGGTCAAATAATAATATAAATACATAAAGTAGACATGGCGAGTGTACAACAAGTAGCAGCGAAGCAAATAAAAGTAACTAAGCTAAGTCCACACATGTGTCTATATCAATCACTAAACACGTCATAACCGGCCTTGACGGTGCTAACATGATAATTATCAAACCAAATGCAATTCCAATTATTAAGCACGAAGCTGCCGAGGAGAACGACCCGATCCCATAGGAATAGTGGTACTCAGTACTGCCGAGGCGAACGACTCGATCCTATAAGAATAGTATTACTAACCTGCCGAAGCGAACGACCCGATCCCATAAGAGTTGTGTTACCATCATGTCGAGGCGAACGACCTGATCCCATAAGATTAGTGTTACCATCATACCGAGGCGAACGACCCGATCCCATAAGAGTAGAGGAATTTACCTCGCTTGCGGAAGTACTTGCAAGACGAGAAGACACAGATTTATAGCTTATCAAGTATTTCCCAATTTTTCTAAAGTAGGAAACTAAATCGATATCTCCAATTTAAATCCTCAGTCTTAGTCCTAATCACGACAATTAATACACATGATAGGCATAAACAATACAATTAAAGGCATGGTGTGAATCTAAGTCTACCCGGACATATCATGAAATATAGCTACGTACGGACTCTCGTCATCTCGTGCGTACGTAGCTCCCCACAACAAGTAGCACACAACAATAATACACCTAAGGGGATAAGTTCTCTCTTACAAGGTTAGACAAGAGATTTACCTCGGTTCCAAGTCCTCAATACGGTTCTTCAACCTCACTAGAACTCCTCAAACGTTGTAGAGGACTCCGAAACTAACCAAACGTTGTCTCGCGATCGCGAAGGCTTGCCCATCCTGAGCTTCGCAAACGCGGTCAGCCTCTCGCGGACGTGAAGAGAAAATGCGGCTGACCCACCCCAGGCCCTTTATTCTACGCGAAAGCGGGCCCTAAACGCGAAGGCGAAGGCACCAGTCCCAGACCTTAGCGAATGCCGCCCCATGAACGCGAACGCGAAGGGTTAAAATGCCCAGTCCCCAATTCCTTCTCCGCTAAAGCAAAGAAGGAAACCAGAACCAAAATTTTCATATTTTCCAGACATAGCTCCGGGTGGTCCAAAATTTACCTGAGCCACCGGACATAAACATAATACGGACCTGCTCGAACTCTCAAAATACGTAAAACAACATCGAAATCATGAATTGTACCCCAAAACCAACTTGAATCAACTTATACTTCAAACTTTTTAATTTGCTCCGAACGCGTCGAATCATACTTATAGTACTCGGAATGACACCCAAATTTGCGTACAAGTCATAAATAACCATACAGAACTATTCCTAGGCTTGGAATCCCAAACGAACCTCGATAACACAAAAGTCTACTCCAAACCAAATTTAAAGAACTAGGAAACCTTCAATGAACCAATTTTCCACATTAAGCGCTGAAACGCTTCTGGGTTAACCGAAACCCGATCCGAACACATGCCCAAGTTCGAAATCATCATTCGAACATATTAGAACGTTCAAATCTCGGTTCCGAGGTTGTTTACTCAAAATGTTGACTCAAGTCAAACTTGGCCACCTTAGGCCACTAATAAGGAATTAAGTGTTCCGATTTCAACCCGAACCCTTCCAAACCTAAACTAACCATCTCTGCAAGTCATAAAATAGTAAAAGCATATACGAGGAGTCTTAATTAGGAAAACGGGGATCGATAAAGCAAAATGTCCGGTCGGATCATTACATTCTCCACCTCTTAAACAAACATTCATCCTCGAACGGGTCTAGAATCATACCTAGAGTGCCGAACACTACTAGAAAATGATTTTATTGGAACGGTTATTGTGAAACGATTTTATAACTGTTACAATAGATCATATACTGGAACAGTTTTAACCATCCTAATAGAGTCAAAAGGCTTTTGGGACACATCTAAAGAATAACTGTTCCAATAGTATAATAACTGTCACCATAAGTAAATATATGGAGACGGCTTGTAAAGGCGATACGATAAAGTTATATGTGGGTACGGTTTGATAAAATAAAAGTATATTGGAACGATTTACTTTTCCCTCCTACATATTTATTAAAAAAACAAAAAAATAAATAAATGACCCCATTAATATTTTAATAACTCTTTAATATATTTTTTAAATTAAAACATTATTATGGAATGTTCCGTCACTCTCTCTCTCTCAAAACCTTGAATTAGATATCGTCTCTCTCAGCCTCAACCTAGAACACATCGACCTCACCATCGACGAGCTCTGTCGGCCAGCTCGGGCGAAGGACGATAACTGCCGGTGAATGATGACCAGTTTCGGCTAACATACGAGCAATCTCCGAGGTAGGCTATTGATTTTTCCCCTGTTTGATGTTTGTATAACTATTCGATTTTAGCTTTCTTTTTTCCCTTATGTTTTCTTTATTTGGTAATAGTTCCGATAAACCCATTATTTTTCTTATGCTTTGTTTGTATTACATGATACATTTTGTGATTTCTAGTTTGCGAAATTGGGGGATTCATTTATTAGGTTTTGATTTTCTGTTTGAAACCATGAGATTTTCTTTGTTCGATGTTTGCTATCGATGTTCGATCTTCGTTGTTCGCTGTCTTGGTTATTCAGAAAAATCGTTTCGCTGCTCCTTTTTTTTTTTTCTGGTAATATTTTTGATAAACACATTCTTTTACTTCTGTCCGATTATGCTTGTGCTGCTTTCACTTAAAATTTTGAGATTCGTTCATGTCTGTGCTTTAGTCTAACGGGTAACTGGTTGCCTTCACGTCTATTAGACATTGGGGTTATTCTTCTCAAACAAATTGCTTGCCTTTCTAAATTTTCTTGCTTGGTAAAAATGATGCTATCTAATCCTTAAAATCCATCTAATAAACTTTCGAAAGTAGAGCTTTTTCGACTTATTGGTAGCTCGTCAATCATACTCTCATAGTTGTAATTAATAACTTAATGCAAAGAACGAAAAGCTATAAGCATTCTGTGCAAGTTGTAAACTGTTGAGGTCTTTTCTTTATAATTACGACCTAGGAACTTAACTTACCCATTTCCAATTACATATTTTGTCCAATTTTATGATGTTATTTGGTCACAATATGTTTCACAATAGTAGAACTTTCCTTGAATAGTGAATATCCAAACCTCTTTCTAAGCAAAGGCAGAAAAGACGGCCTAATTCTAGTCCTGCCTACTTCATTATAAAATGTAAAGGTACAAGGCTCAAGTCCTTAAACTATTATATGTACAGTAAACTTTTAAGCAAATGAAAGGGACTATGGATAGTAGACATAGAAACACCTAATACAATGAACTTATAAGTTGGTATGTACAGTCCAATTGAAATCAGAACTGCAGCATATATCTGTAGCTAATTTTTACAAATTTAAACAAGGCTGAATCCATGGAAGAATTGTTGCTGTTGAGACGGGTTTATATGGTCAGTGAGGATAGTTATAGCGAACTTCAACTTGCTTGTAATTGAGGCGTAGTAGTAGTTGTTGTAGGAGTTCTTCATCCTTAGTTTCTTGTCCTATATGATAAGTGTTTAGAATTTGGTCTCAATACATCTTCTAAACAAGATTCTGCTCATTTATTTTGTGCATTGTAGGATCATTATCTTTTGGTTAATTTTAGCCAAAGCACTTGAGAGCTTAGATAGTGAAAACGAATCATGTGCGATTATATTGATTTTGCTTCCATGCCTTCAATAAAAAGAAGGTTGTTCTCAAAAGTTTAACAGTCTGGTTTAAATGGCTGGAAAATGGAGAGAACAGCAGATGGATAATAACAAGGGAATGGGATACTTATTATGAAGAACTGAAGAAGTTGACTCGTATTGCAGCACCAATGGTGACAGTTTCTGTATTGCAGTATCTATTGCAAGTTGTATCGGTGTACTTAGTGACTAAGAACTTTGTTTCACACTTATATTTACATGAGAAAGCTGGTAAAAAAACTTATTTTGTGCACCTTTTTCTATAGGTTTTGCATCCTTAGAGACCTGGTTATGATATTTAGGAATTTCTCGAGAACTTGTGTTAGTTGCCTTCTCATTCTTATCATCTTTAGTCCCATTAGAAACACCAAGGAATCGAGCTGCTACTGTTGAACTTTGTCCAGATTTATCATGAACCACCTGTTGAAGTTGCCCAGCATCTTCATTCACATCTTTACCATATGTTTTATCCAGAACATGTTGTTTCACCTCGATTGTTTTGATTAATGAATTAGCTCGATCATCAATTACACCAAAATTTGAACACACAGCCTTGTGCACCCCAGCTCTCTTCTCCTGCACACCTGTAACTATCTGCATATTTGACTGTCCATTCACTTGTTGCTGCACCTCGACTGCTTTGGTGCACACTTAATTGTCATTCAATTATCTTAAAAAAATGTTTAATTATTTCTAAATTGTCTTTTGCATGTGCAGCGATTGCGAATGAAAGCAGTGATGAAGACCTTACTTGAGTGTTGTTGATCGTTGTTAGACTTTCTATTATCATGTTCAAGGATATTTTAGTTTAGAGCTTTATTTTTGTATGCAAACTCATATATTTTAACTTTTGAATTGTTGATCAAACAATGTATTCATATTTTGTTTTTGTTTATGGATAATGCTAGTTGGATATTTTAATTTTATTTCGTGGTTTATATAAGTTATGGTGTATAAAATTTCATTGCGTAGGAAAATATTCCTCATTTTGCTTCCATAAATATCAAAAATTACAATTGCGAATTATTGCAATAGAGAATATAACCGTTCCAATAGACCTAGCCAATAATAACAGCATCCCCTAATAACCGTTGCAATAGGATATTGATAGTTGTACCAATATATCACAAAACCGTTGTAATATATCATGAAAACTGTTGAAATAGACTTAAAACAATCGATGGTATAATTGTACCACAACGGTTTATAACCGTCCCTACAGAACAGACAACTGTTCCCATAGGTGGAACATGGTAGCAGTCACATAACCGTTACAATATCCCTATATGGAGACGGTTTTGAAACCGTTACAAAAAACAGTTCCAATTGCCCTATTGTAACAATGAATCCTGGAACGCGTCCCAATCTGTCCCATTAGCCCTACAGGGACGGTTATTGTATATATTGCCACGGTTTTAGTAGGGTTGCCATAGGCGTAATTTCTAGTAGTGGAATAAGTGCGGATATCTGCTCCTCATGTCCTCCCCGGCCTCCCAAGTCGCTTCCTCGACTGATTGACCCCTCCATTGGACCTTTACCGCATCAATCTTCTTGGACCTCAACTGGCGAACCTACCTGTCAACAATGGCAACTGGCTCCTCCTCATAGCCCAAACTCTCATCTAGCTGAACTGTGTTGTAATCTAACATAGTAACCTGTCGGCATGGTACCTCCGGAGCATAGACACGTTGAAGACCGGATGAACTCCCGATTGAGATGCAAGGCAAGCTCATAAGCAACCTCCCCAACTCGCCTCAACACCTCAAATGGATGAATAAACCTTGGGCTCAGCTTGCTCTTTTTCCCGAACGTCATGATGCCCTTCATTGTTGAGACTTTCAAGAGAACCTTCTCGCCAACCATAAATGATAAATCACACGCCTTCTGATCTGCGTAGCTCTTCTGTCTGGTGTGTTGTGCAAAGCCGCTCCTGAATCAACTTTACCTTCTCTAAGGCATCCTTCACTCAATCAGTGCCATATAACTTAGCCTCGCCGGGCTCAAACCATCTGATGGGCGAACGACATCGCCGACCATATAAAGCCTCAAATGGAGCCATCTCGATGCTAGACTGATAACTGTTGTTTAAGCAAACTCGGCCAAGGGCAAGAATCTGTCCCACTTCCCTCCGAAGTCAATGAGACATGCTCTGAGCATATCCTCCAGAATATTAACTGTCCGCTCTGACTGCCCGTCAGTCTGCGGATGAAAGGTTGTGCTGAGCTCTACTCGGGTACCCAACTCGCTCTGTACTGCTCTCCAGAACTGTGAAGTGAACTGAGGACCTCTATCTAATATGATGGAAACAGGCACACCATGCAACCGAATAATCTCCTAAATGTAGATCTATGCCAACCTCTCTAAAGAGTAAGTAGTCACCACCGGAATAAAGCGTGCCAACTTGGTTAGTCAGTCGACAATAACCCAGATGGCATCAAACTTCCTCAACGTCTGCGGCAATCCAACAACAAAGTCCATAGTGATGCGCTCCCACTTCCACTCTAGTATAAACATCTGCTGGAGTAGACCACCTGGCCTCTGGTGCTCATACTTGACCTGCTGGCAATTTAGACATCTCGCCACATACTCAACTATGTCCTTCTTCATCCGCCGCCACTAATAATGCTACCTCAGATCGCGATACATCTTCGTAGCACCTGGATGAATAGAATACCTAAAACTGTGTGCCTCCTCTAAAATTCTCCCTCAAGCCATCAACATTAGGAACACATAGGCGACCCTGGAGTCGCAGAACACCATCCTCACCGATAGTAACCTCCTTGGCACCACCATCTAGTACCGTCTCTTTGAGAACCAACAAGTGCGGATCATCGTACTGACAAGCCTTGATCCGCTCAAGTAATAAAGACTAAGCCACAACACATGAAAGAACTCGACCGGGCTCTGAAACATCCAACCTCACAAGTCTGTTAGCTAAGGACTGAATGTCTAAAGACAATGGCCTCTCCTCTGCCGAAATGAAGGCCAAACTACCTATACTATCGGCCTTTCTGCTCAAGGTATCCGCAACCAAATTCGCCTTACCCAGATGGTAAAGGATGATAATATCATAGTCCTTTAGTAACTCAAGCCACCTGCGCTGTCTCAAAGTAAAGTCCCTCTGCTGAAATAAATGCTGTAAGCTGCGATGATTGGTGTAAACCTCACAGGACACCCCATAGAGAAAATGCCTCCAGATTTTGAGAGCATGAACTATCGCGGACAATTCCAAATTATGCACAGGGTAATGCTTCTTGTGGGGCTTCAGCTGGCGTGAAGCGTATGTAATAACTCGCCCCTCCTGCATCAATACACAACCCAAGCCAATGAGCGAATTGTCACAATACACGATATGTATCCCTGAACCGGAGGGCAACACTAACACTGGTGATGTAGCCAAAGCGGTCTTGAGCTCCTGAAATCTCGCCTCGCAATCATCGGACCATCTTAACGGAGCACCCTTCTGGGTCAATCTAGTCAAGGGCGCTACAATAGACGAGAAGCCCTCCACGAACCAACGATAATAACCTACTGACCCAAAAAAACTCCTGATCGCGGTCGCTGTGGTAGGACGAGGCCAACCCTAGACTGCCACAATCTTCCTAGGATCTACCTTAGTACCCTCACCTGATACAACATGCCCAAGAAAGCCACAAAATCTAACAAGAACTCGCACTTGGAGAACTTAGCATAAAGCTTCTGTTACCGCAAGTTCTGAAGCACTAATCTCAAATGCTACTTGTGCTCCTCCATACTACGCGAGTAGATCAATATGTCATCAATGAAGACAATGACAAATGAGTCGAGATACGGCCTGAACACTCGGTTCATCAAATCCATAAATGCCACCGGGGTCATGCCGAAGGACATCACAAAAAACTCATAGTGTCCATATCGAGTCCGAAAAGCCGTTTTTGGAATATCCGAAGCACGAATCTTTAGCTTATGATACCCAGATCTCAAGTCGATCATTGAGAACACCTGGCACTCTGCAATTGGTCAAACAAGTCATCAATGCACGGCAACAGGTACTTATTCTTGATGGTGACTTTGTTCTACTGGCAGTAATCAATGCACATCCGTATACTCCCATCGTTCTTCCTCACAAACAACACCGATGTGTCCCAAAGAGACACACTGGGCCTAATGAACCCCTTCTCCAGTAGCTCCTGAAGCTGCTCCTTTAACTCTCCCAGCTCCTTGGGAGCCATACGGTAAGGCGAAGTAGAAATAGGCTGGGTGCCTGGCACAAAATCAATGTCGAAATCGATATCCTGATCTGGTGGCATACTTGGTAGATCAGCAAGAAATACATCGAAAAACCCTCGTACCACACGCACTGTATCTAATGCAGGAGTCTCTGCAGTAGTATCCCGAACAAAGGACAAGTAGGACAAACAACCCTTCTCGGCCATATGTCGAGCCTTCAAGAAAGAAATAACCCGGCTGGAAGTACCGATAGACGAACCCCTCCATTCTAATCTATGCAACTCAGGCATCGCCAAGGTAACAATCTTGGCATAGCAATCAATAATGGCATGGTACGGGGACAAACAGTCCATGACCAAGATCACCTCGAAATCAACCATATCGAGCAATAGAAGATCCACTCTGGTCTCATATCTATAGAAAGTCACCACACAGGACCGGTAGACCCGATCCACAATAATAGAATCACCCACTAGCGTAGACACATATACAGGTATGCCCAAGGACTCGCGAGACACATCTAGATAAGGAGAAAATAGAGAAGAAACATAGGAGTAAGTAGACCTCAGATCAAATAATACCGAGGCATCCCTACGACAGACGGAAATAGTACATGTGATCACTGCATCGGTGGCAATTGCCTACGGCCTGGCGGGGATAGCATAGAATCTAGCCGGAGCACCACCTGGCTATCATCCACCTCTAGGATGACCCCTACCCACCTGCCCTCCGCTTCTGACTGGCCGGGCGGGCGGTGTGGTAGCTAGTGCGGTAATCATGGGCCGATGGTCTTGCTGCTTGGCCCTGGCCCGAAATCTAGGACACAACCTCTTCGCATGGCCAAGATACCCGCACTCGAAACAACCCCTCGAAGCAATGGACTGCTGACCTGAAGTCTGACCCTGTTGGTCTGAATACCCACTGGAGGAACCCTGGAGAGCTGGCGGACGGTAAGTACTCTCTGGAATGGCACTGAAGTAGGGTCGGGCTGGAGCACTCCGAGCATGCGGTGGTGCTGATTGCATGGGCCTGCTGGGCTGACCCCTTATGAACTGGCCTCTGCCCCCAGGTGGGGCGCTGCTGAATCCTCCAAACTGCTGGGGCTGCTTGTTCCTTAGTGCAAACTCTCTGTTACGGTTGCGAATACGCTCGATCCTTCGAGCTATATCCACAACTTGATGAAAGGGAGTCCCTATCTCTGCCTCAAGGGCCATAGAAACCTGAATCTCAGGGTGCATACCTGCAATGAACCTTCGCACCCTCTATGCGTCTGTTGGGAGTATAATAGTTTCATGGTGAGACAAGTCAGTTAATCTCGCCTCATAGTCGATCACAGACATATGACCCTGACGAAGTCGCTCAAACTGACCCCAAAGCTCCTCTCTCTTTGAAGGTAGTATGTACTTCTCCAAGAGCATATGTGTAAACTGATCCCAAGTCAAGGGAGGTGAACCTGCTGGCCTGCTAAGACTGTAAGCCTTCTACTATTTGCGAGCCTTACCCTCAAGTTGAAAGGTGGTGAAGTCCACCCCGTTGGACTTCAATATCCCCATGTTCTAGAGCCTATCCTTGCACCGGTCAATGAAATCCTGGGGGTCCTCAGACCACTCACCCCCAAAGTTAGGGGGTGAAGTCTAGTCTATCTATCCAGCCGCTTCTACTGATCAATGGTCGCGACTGGTACAGCCTTTGGCACAACCGCTGCAACTGGCTGGGC